CTTCCTGTGTTACTGCTACAGTAGTTTTCTTGTTCAGAAGCTGCAGCTCAGGAGACACTTCAAATTTCAAAGGGTATTTAAGATTAGAGGTTTGATTTATTTTAAAGAACTTAAAACTCCATTGAGCTGCGCTGTAAAGGTTAGAGCCGAATTTCTGATCCCGTTGAATTGGATGACACTCGTCTTATTGATTTTGGCGAGGGCAGAATTTCCCACTCTGTGTGTATCCCTGCTACAGAACATGCTGAGGATCTATACCCACATCCTTCAACATATACTCACTTCGCAGTCCACTCTGTAGCTTACAAAGGTTGATTGTGCAAGAAAGCTTTCTGGCCATGTGTGGTAAAGATAAGACAAAAAGTTCCTTTTTGAGCATAACGTATATATTGTTATTATCAATTATCCTTCACAAAGGAGATCAGTATTTTCACTGTTTAATCTGTATTTTATTTACATTTATATTTTATTCATATTTTATTATAAAACTAAGAAAAAAAAAAAGAACCATATCGTCCTCCTCAGATGAGGTAAATGTTTTTGGTAGAGCCAGGAATCCCCTGGTCTCCTAGATTCATCCTGTGTAGAAAGCTGCTTTGTTCTGTTAAATCCTATTTGCAATGAAGAGCTTAGGCTATATGTGCCAAATGACTGCGGAGCCAAAAAAGATACCGTTCAAAAAAGCCTGGGTAACAACGGAAGTGTTTTTGGAAAAGGCACTGAGGTAGCTTTGAAAATTTCACAAACAGTTTTGTCTTTACATAAAAAGGAAACGCTAACTTTGAAGCACAGAGAGGGAAAACATAACCTTTCTTTTTTTTCAAGCAACATTTTGTATTTGTTTTATTTTATGTCATTTTCCAGTAGTATCCAAACATTTTCTGAGTGTTAATTAAATTACTTTTGCCAGGTCATGGCAGAGTAAATATTGCAACCTCAGTGTTACTACTGCGAAAATGGAGGCAGGGTTTGGGAACTGACCCGTGCCATAGCCGGAGTGCCAACGCGTCCACGACGGGTGCTTGGTCCTGTTCCGTTTGCTGGATTGCTCCTTTTTCTGATACAAGGCATTTTTTAAAAACAAAGGATGTTTTTGGCGTGAGTGGGATATTGCAATATTTCCTCTTCCATATTACTTAGATACCTATTTCTAGAAAGATGAACGCAGTGAAACAGGACGGTTTTAAATGCCCTAAGAAACTCACAACTAGCTATCGACGCTGGTTTTGGTGGTTTTGTTGTTTTTTTTTTTTCCCCCAAGCCCCCAAAGGAACACATCTGCAGTAGGTATAGTATTTTTACAAGGAGGTTTTACGATAGAGAAGATAAATGCAAGAAGCAGTATGTCATAATCACAACAAGGAAGCTGAACCATTAACATGAAATATGGGCTGAAGCGGAGCAGCAGATATATGTTTTCCTCCTTTTATAAGGGTTTCTGAGTTGGTAACATGTTTTACCTTAGCAATTCATTACGGTTGCCTTTCATATTGTAAGAGCTCTTTATAATATTCAAACTCTTTGTCTTCTAAAGACAGTGTTAACCAGATGACTCAATGTAAATAAATGAAGATCCCCAGAGACAGAATTTATTGGCTGGCACATGCCACAACAACATATTTTTTGTACTATTGCTGTCCAGACAGAAAAGGCTCCTTTGAGAAAAGACATTGCCTTAGCCACTGAGCTGAAGTTATTTATCTGTTGCTGGTTAGGAATGGAGCGGGGGGTAAAACCTGCCCTACCCTAGAGCACTAGGGGGAATGCATGCAAAGAATAATGATAAAATCAGTCACCGTTATATAAGAGATGATGAGAATAATGGAAATGTGGCTTGAATAGTCTGTTTAGTGAAAGCTGTGATCTAAGGCGTTTGATGGAAGCAATCACTATTTTAATCTTCACAGTTTGGGGGAAGGGAAAAAGCCAGTTGCATCATTTTTAACAGGTTCTTTTTTTCTTTTTCCTTTTTTCCTTCTGCCTTGTGGTTCAGCTTAGCTGCAGAAAAAAATGTGATCAGAAACGATCTAAAGCTAATTTCTTAAGAAAGAGGGGGGAGGTTTTTTGGGTTTTTTTTTGCTAGTCTGATGTGTGTGGGGGGAAAGAGCAGAGCTGATTTCCACGCAACTTGACTTAACCTAAATACATTCTTGACCTATCATCCAGTTCAGTGAATTGCCTAAATATGTTCTGCTTATATGCGTAATACTTTTCTACAGTGCATGATACTGACCCATCCTGTTAAGGCCACCATATTGTAATCTGATGGTTTTTAATCCTGCTGGAGGAAACTAGACGTGAAAGTGTAGTGCAGAGCACTGGAGATCGGCAAATAAAACAGCTTTATCTGTCCTTAACGCGTGTGCCTGGATTTACTCTTACAAAGCACGTCTGTCATCCCTGGGGCATTTTGGTGCAAAGAGTAAATGTGAGTATGAACACTGACACACTCGAAAACAAGCTGGGAGTATGG